ATTTCTTATTTTTTTATATTTTGTATAAAATATATTTTTCACAGAATGATTCACGCGTAAACTATTACAAGTCAATATTTTTGAAGTGAGATGAGATATCGAGAAATTATTTATTGATATTTTCATGATTGCAAATAGATTTTGTTTCTCCCAATTTTTCTAAATAGCATAGCTTTTTAGATTTTAAGATTACCTATGTTTTTTTGGAATTGTATGTTTTGTTTGCACATAAATCGATTGTCCAATTTATTCTGCATATATATATATGAGTATTGCAAGATAACATATAATAATATTTATAATATTTTTACGAAATATTTTATAATTTATTTTGTCGTGTTATGACAAAATATATATAATATTTTACAAAATATTTTACCTTTTCCGTGAGTTTAACTCTTTCTCTCAAGTGCCAATAAATAGTTTTTCCATCTCCTTTCATTTAAAAATATTGATTTGTGATTAATCAAATCATTCTGTATATTGCGTGAAACGTTCATTTTGTGCAAAACGTTCTTTAAAAGTGCTTTATATAACTTCTATACTGTATGCTAATCAAATTGAGGTTTCAAAATCAGTTTTCCGATATTCAAAACAGTACGATTTTTTAAATTCTATTCATTTGTTCCAAAATAAAAGCCAAGCTGTTTCAGCAACTATTCAAGAAAATATATACAATTTTTCTCTTCTTTTTTCAAGTAAATATTAGAATATTTGTCAACGCAATTATTTATACCACTTTTACATTACTGAAAATGAACACAGTGAAAGAGTTAATTTTCAATATTAACTTGTATGTGAAAGTTTTCTCGGTCTTCGCGCGTAATTTTTTTTAAATGATTTGACATCTGAAGACTTTTATAAGATTCAAATATTTGAGATCAAAGAATACTGGCTTTCTCCGTAGAAAGTTTTAGCGATTTTATGTAAAAATTTACATAACTTACTAAACTTATTTGCCGATAGAACTTTCTTTGAATAATTTAATACAATTATCATAGTAGATAGTTCCTTATTAATAAATAAATGGCGCTACGAAATTGTTTTCTCTCTTTTCTAATTTTATTTTTCTTCCTTTCAATACTCACTTTTTTTAATATTAGCTTAACGCAATGCTTTTCTAATATTTATTTTTGCATAACGAGAATCATAAATTTACATAGCCCTTCAATTTGAAAATAATCATGGATGACGATTTGTTCTATCGCATTTGTTAAAACGTTATTATAAATGGATCGGTCTTTCTATCTCGCTTAACAGAACTCAGAATACTTGATTATTTTTAGTAAAGTTTAGTTTTAGTGGTTTTATAATTTTGATTTATTTTGAAAAGATGAAAAAGTATATTTCTTTTCTATAAATTTCGCGATAATTTCGCTCTTGCTATAGATAAAATTTTAATTTTTTAAAAACCATATGAGAAAAATTATTTGACAGATATACTAGCGATGTTTTCATATGAATAATATATCGCAATAAATCTTATTTACGTAATTATTTTAAAAATCTTTGTAAATCGTTCATCATGGCAAGCTCCCATTTGCCCGCATGAAAGTCGCGTGGAGCATGTCTATAAATATGCCAAGCTTATTATCATTTTGGAAAGCTACGATTATCTAAGATCTAAAATAATATTCGTTACAAATAACAAAATTCAGAGCGCATATGCCTCATAATGTATGTATATTATACAGCTACATTATATTATTATAGAAAGCAAGACATAATGTGTGCAAAATACATATATATAAATAAATATTTAGCTTTTTCGACAATATTCTTATTTATTGAGCTGAATATTTTTATCGTCCATACATAGTCCAATGTTATTAAATTGTTATCCTTCAATTATCCTTTCTATTAAAATCTAAGATGACCTGAAAAAAAAAAAAAAAATTTATAAAATATTAAA